ATATATATATATATATATATATATACACCTTGCTACGTGTACTGCGTTAGGCTAACCGAGACTTGTCATTTGCACTTATATATTGTTGCTCTTTTGTTAGTTTTGGTTGCTTCTATTGTTCTCATTTGTAAGTCGCTTTGGATAAAAGCGTCTGTTAAATGACTAAATGTAAATGTAAAAATAATAATAATAATATTTATTGATGCTAAAATTTTGAACGGTATTTTATACATGTAATATTTAATACATGATAATTAATTTAATATTTGGATATCTTTCAAAAGAAATTGTGTATTGTCACAAGAAACTGGTCGTGTCATTATCAGCGCTTTCAAACAAAAGCAGACCATCGGTCCACCAGCAAACCGTTTAGTGTGTTTTGTAACGATGCTTGCCTAATTACAAGAGAAATGTAATGTTTCTGGACCCACCCATGGGGCTGACCAGGACGATGCTCTGGACCGGAGCACACTGGCTCTTCAGAAGAACAGTCAGGAGCTTCACACCCCGCCAGCGCACGTGGAAGTCAAACTCCTACCGCAGGACACAGCAGGAATAAGAGACAAGACAGAAGTCCTGGTGGGTTCAGAAGGTCAGTTCTGGCTCACCTCCAACAGCGTGAGGAGAAGAGTGATATTATCTGGTTCCCCGATGAACTCCTCAGTGAACCGAGCTCCCAAATCATCCTCCTGCTTCTGCTGGTTCTCCTCTGAGAGAGAAAATGAGATGCAGAGAAACCCATTCTTTGCTTTGTTGTTACTTTTGTGGGTTACTTTAACATAAAAAATGCAGGGAGGAACATACAAAAGAGGAGATAGATGGGGAAAGATATCAAAACTAATATATTATACTGTGTGCTAAAACTGACCACACAAAAACTGCAAAGAGCCAGTAAAGGAACCATATCCAGTACATATCTCATCAAGACTCCAGATGGAAAAGAAGTGTATTAATACAAAGAGCGATAGAAGAAAGCACATCAACCCACAGGTTAGGAAACTAGAGATAAAACCACTAAACCACACACCAGTTAAAGCTCCACCTCTCCCACACAGTGAAAACTTCACACTAAATGTTATTAATATTAGGACAAGACGTGCAGTTTTCTCTCCTGTTTCCAATAGAAATCTGCTAAATATATGGTTCCCTATATTCAGAGGGAACGTTGCACCAAATCCAATTATTACTCAAATCATTGTTGTTTATTAATGCACAATGTTATTTATTTTATTCTTATGTAATCAGTGCAGTGGCTCAGGCTTTGTTAGAACGACGCTGCAAGACCTAGAGTTTCTAAATGCTGCTGTTTTATGGAATTGTGAAAGCGGTCGAACTCGCTGAGCATCACACGCATAGCGCAGGTTTTCTGGAAGCACGGATGGCCTGGGGTTAGACAGCATCATGCACACAAAAGTGCTTTACCTTCAGAATCTTCTGGTGGATTAAACATGGAAAGAAAATAGAGGAGGATCAGATCAAACATAAACTGCAAGAGGAAGACTAGTATCAGACTGAAACCAGGTTTACGGACTGCAAGAACAACTAAAAGATAGCTACTCATTTGGAATAAAAGCTGACGATGTGAATTAGCCTACGGACATTGAACAAATCAATTAAAATCCCACCATGTCCACATCTGAACCAGACAGAATAAAGCATATAAACATACCTGGCTCCTCCTCTTCGTCACTGCAGACTATATTGTACAAAGTGTCCAAAGCGTAACCTAGGATTTCAGTGTCTGTCCTGTTTCAAATAATCACCGAACACAAGTCATAATGTGTGATAATTAACAGGTTTTTTTTTTTTTTTTTACAATGAATGTAATATTTTTGAAACATACCGGTCACTCTGCAGTATTCGAAGCAAATGGTCCATAGCCATTGTGCCGACCTCCACACGGTATTTCTGCAATCAAACATCTACTTTACACATGTTGTTCTACAAACAACTTATTTCTATATATATTTATTTATATATAATCACATCACCTTTAAGGCATGTTTGTGATGTGAAATACACGCTGCGGTTTCAGTAAGCATATAAACTACCGTGATATCAGGCTTCTCTGATGTTCAATTTTACAGCATTTGTTTGACAATCTTTTAATGCATCCTTTTAATTTCTTTCCACCCACAATACCTCTATTGCAAACATCAACATGAAAAAAGCATGAACCTTGGACAGAGACTTGATGGCACGGACTGCATCTCTCCGGTCCTCCAGCAGGGTTGATGAAGCCATGCGGTCACACAGTTTCTGAATCTGACGATAAACACAGCGAGTGAACGCTCCGACACTGCATTAACATGATCCACACAGAAAAACTGCAGAAGAGACTTCCTTGAGTTTCCATCAGGTTTCAGCATTTACATCAACACTGTCTGAGCTGGGAGTGTCATTCGGACTCTCTCTCTCTCTCACACACACACACACACACACACTCACTCACACAGAGAAAACAGCTGCTTATCAAGTCAATGACAAACATTGCGTAATGCGCCACAGATCAGTTATATATATGCATACATATAGAGCATGATGCAGTGTCAGTGCTTGAGCTGATAAGCAGCTGTCCTCATGTTTCTGCAGTAAACACTCACGGTCTCCGCTCCGCTCGGCTGCTGGCCTGTCGGCTGCCTTCCCACCACTTCCCAGATGTAGTTCATCCTCCTGCGTGTCCGCTTTAGCTAATGTTTTAAACGTCGATGTTCACAGAGTAAACTTCTGTTAAACTGAAGGGATTTTCCAGGACGGGCAGAGAGTAAATGTCATTAAAACAGCTGCTGCCTGATGTTGATCTCTCGACACGACAGCGCGCAGCCCGGAACTGACCCGGACGCGCATGCGCAGAGACGTGACGCTACGTGGCTGACCTCAACGTCGATGACGTTCCCGTAAAGAGACAGTTACACCAGAGCCGTTCGAAAACATGCTGATTAACTATATATTAATACACTATTAATATTAATATTACTATACTAATATACCATTATTACTAATAACGGTAATAATGAAAGATAAAGAAATCATATTACATAAAATCATTCAGAAATGTACATTTTCAAGAAAGATGCTGACATATATTTACATTTTTCAAAAAAATAATTGCTTGTAGACTTTGTAATTCTGTGGAGTAAAACTTCTAAGTCAATGTAATATGCTTGTAAATTTTGTGTTATTTTTTGCTACATAAAGTATTAAAAAGCTAAAAACGCCATGCTGAATGCTTCATGTTCTTTTATAAGGTAAACCTGATGTTGTTTCGATTTAAAGCCACAACAGTTGCACCGAACAGCACAGATTTCAGTTTATTGTATGTCAAGTCTAACACATCGAAACTGAATGAAAATGAAATAAAAATAACAAAAAAAAACTAATAAACATCCAGCTGCAACATATTCTACTCACACAAAAATGCAGTCCGAGTAAAATAATACAGAAAGCACCTGCTAACACTAGACTGTGTGCTTGTTCCAGCTAAATGAACTACGTTTCTAAACCTCACAGTAACTGCATGGAAACCAACGCCTTGCATTAGAATTAGAGGGTTAAAAATAACCTGATTAAATGATATGAACAAATGAAACAAACTGAAGTCTGATGCATATCTTGGGTTGAAAAGCAGAGTTATTTGACCAAGCCCTATGCAGTAATGTCTTCTTTTTGCTCTCCTGCAATCCAAACGCTCAGAGTATGTGGCTGATTGAAGTGCTTGGAGTCTGAAAAGAAAGGCCATCGTGGCGTTTATTAACACCGTAATGAAAAGCTCCAGAACTGGTAAGAACTAGTGGATGGGGAAGGAGTCTCTAGACACACTTTCTTCCAAACGCAAATGCATCTGCAACCAAAAGTCTTTTTACATTGAACAAGCCGTCCCCAAAAATGAACAAATAAAAAAGAAATGCAATGTCCCTGATGAGGATTGTCCTAGAAATACTGCACATAGTGCAACCTACCAGACACGGAAGACATTAAACATCAAAAATAGCGCAACATTAAACTGTACTTACAAAATCAGTGCAAAGTTTAGACTTGAGTACTTATGCTTCCTCCAACTGATGAAGAACAGCATTCACATGTTCCTCATTATGACCAAAACGGAAAGCAGGCGTGGATATCAAACAGAAAAAAAAAAGTTTAAAAAAAAATTTTTTTTTTTTTTAATAATAATAATAATTCCCCGCCAAAAAAAGGCATACAGTCCAACACTTCTTGGGGGAAAAAAATGAAAATTTTGAAAATGTGCATTAAAGAAACGACCATGTTTTTTCTAATCAGTGCTATTTAAAATGCCATTAATAATAATACGTTCATTAAAAAAAATGTAGAAGACAAAACTAGTCCATTTGGGAAAGTCAGAAATACACCAGCAAAGTTTGTCTGTACCCTGTATATATACTGTCATGTTTTAATTTTAAAAAATATGTCTCGGATGAAAAATGAAAATCGTATCACAAACCGAGATTTAGATTTTGAAAACTAAACTAA